AAAAAAAAAATCAGTAAGCTGGGGGCATGGTGGTACACATCTGTGATACCAGCTATGCAGGTAGAAGGATCAAAATCTGACACCAACCCTGGGAAAAAACTCGAGACTGTTCCTGAAAAATAAAGCAAAAAAGGTCTGGGGGGTATGGTTCAAGTGGTAGAGCACTCACCTGGCAAGAGTGAAGCTTTCACTTCAAACCCCAGTATTGCCATAAATAAATAAATTAAATAAATATCCAAAGTATATAATGCTGATTGATTGGGGATGCAGCTTAGTGGTGGAGCATGCATGCTTAGCATGCCAAGGCCTTGGGTTCAACCCCAGCACCAAAAATAAACAGTATACAGCTATTAGAAATTGTTTAGGATTGGGCTGGGAGAGTGGCTCAAGTGGTAGAACACCTGCCTAGCAAGCAGGATGCTCTGAGTTCAAACCCCAGTATCCCCCCAAAAAAAAAATTCTTAGGGGAAAGTAACAAAGAGTAAAAGGGATAAATTTGATCAAAATGTATTTTCTAGCCGAGCTGGCACCAGTGGCTCACACCTATAATCCTAGCAGATATCAGAATTGCAGTTCAAAGCCAGCCCCTGTAAAATAGTTTCAGAGATCCTACCTGGAAAACCCCATTACAAAAAAAGGGCTAGGAGTGGCTCAAGCAGTAAGGGTACCTGCCTAGCAAGTGTGAGGCCCTCAGTGGAAACCCCAGTGCCGCCCAAAGAAAACATATTTTATTCATTATGGAAATATGAAACCCTTCTGTACAAGAGTATATAACTTGTTTGTCCTTGGGGAAATCTTTCTTACCATTTTTACATGATGCAAATTTTAAAATTACCACAAAATGCTGAAAGATATAAACTCTTTATGCTTTGCAATGTGTCATGATAGATGATAATTTAATGCCACAAACAACTGTAGTGTTGAAATCTACAAATTGGAATCTTATACCCTGCTCCTGGGAAAGCTTGCTGCTCATTACTCAGAGTGTATACTACCAACCCAATGGTGTCGTGCTGGATGTGCTTAGCATCGAGGCTGGAGTAAAGATCCACCACTGGTTCAAATGCACCCAGCATACAGTAGATTCGAACAAGCAGCAATTTGAACTGAGCGTTGGAAGGGCTATGGGTCAATCCTTCTTCCAGCAAAGTCAGTGCCTGCCACACAGCAGTCTCATCCCCTAAAACCAAAATAGATCATTATCCACTGATCTTGACAGCAAAAAAGACTCTTCTAAAAAACAAAAACCCTTTTGATGTCATCACCTCCTTTAACTATTATATGAATGAGTTTAGGTGGCAAAGAACAATTAGAATCAAAATAGGTGGCTGGCTCAGCAGCTCACACCTGTATAAATAACCCTAGCAACTTGGGATCAGAAGGATTGCAGTTCAAGGCCAGCCCAGGCAAAAAAGTTCTCAAGCTCCCACGTCAACCAACAAACTGGGCAGGACAGCATTGCACCTCTTGTCCCAACTTCAGCAGGAAGCATAACTAGGAGGATCATGGTCCAAGTCAGCCCAGTCAAAAAGAGAGACTATTAAAAAATAACCAAGGCAAAAAAAGAGTTGGGGGTGTGGCTTAAGCAGTAGAGCACCTGCTAACAAGTGCACAGCCCTAAGTTCAAACCCCAGTATCACCAAAAAAAAAAAACAACAAAAAAAGGAAAGAGAATTGTCCTTAAGTAGTTATGCCAATTCTTAAATATGCCCTTTGCAAAAGTAATTTGGAATTTAAGTGGCCAGTTATCTTGGGAAGAAATTAAGACAATCACACAAACTTAAATTCTGGGAAGACACAGACTTGGAAGGAGAACCAGAGCCTACCAGCCTTCCCACTACATGATTTTCTCTGTGAGACCCCAGAAAGATATTTTCCAGACATTATTTTTCTTCCATATGAAACTCTACTAACAGATGTCACATGATACTTCTTAAGAAATGCTGATTAATAATAAAACAAGGGCATGGAAATATCACAAGGAAACATTTTTCCTTTTGCCTACCAAATGTCAATAATCTTAAAGATTAAGTTATTTGTCATTTAAGATCAATCTCAAGAAAAAACAAACTGAGCCTGGTAGTACACATCTATAATCCCAACTCTTGGAAGGTAACGGCAGGAGGATCATAAGTTTGAGACCAGCCCGGGCTACATAGTGACACCTGGTCACTAAGAAAATGAAGAAGAAAGGAGAAACAAACAAACAAAAACTACTAAGAAATGCAGACAAAGCTTTATGTACAAAAATATAATGATGGAAGGATGACTAAGAAAATTATGATAACATCCAGACTGCCAATTGACAATGATGATGACTTTTTCATTACAAAGGAAAAATATTTGCACAATAAAGTTCAGCAAAAATACAGGGAGAAAATTTAAATTATTATGAAGAGTTGAACACAAGTAATAAAATATTCAAGAAAAAATGCAAACGAATACCTGTGAGATCTGGATAGGTGACATTTTAAATTGTTTTCAAAATTTTTACAAGCTGCTTTTAAAGTCATTACACACAGCTAAAATAAAAGCTCTACGCATTAAAATTTTAAGGTTAATAGTCTATATTTTCCCAAAAGAAAAACAGCAGGACATAACCAAAAACTGGGGGCTTTAAGTAAGTATCATACATAATCTATCCCCTATGCAAACTCCTCATAATCTACCCAAACTAATGTTATAATTTCAATTTATTTCCTCTTTACTTTTCCAAAGTAGAGATCATAACATACATCCAATTTGGTGTTTGGTTAAGTGTTTTCCCATGTTAGAACTTGGAACTCACAGCCATAATTTTATTTAATTTGAACCCTAATTGAGGGTTGCATGTGTGGCCTAACCCCTGCAAGGTACTGGGTTCAAACTCCAGTACCACTTAAAAAAAAAAAAAGCTTAAGTTGAGTAGATGAAATAGGTGGGCAGTTATAGGGATTACATAACTATAAGAAGTGCTGTCTAAGGATAACTGGTATAAAAAAACAAAACAAAAAACTAACTTAGGACAAGGACCTCTTTAAAATAGAATCAAAATCTCAGAAGAGGGATTGGAGGCATGCTTCAAACTGTAGCGCATCTGTTTTGTGAGCGCCTGCTTTGCAAGTGTGAAGCTCTGAGTTCAAACACCAGGCCCACCAAAAAATAAAACAAAGAAAAAAGAAGTTTCAGGGCTGAGGGAATGGCTCAAGTGGTAGAGTGCCTGCTTACCTGCTTAGCAAGTACAAGGCCTAGTGTTAAACCCCAGTACAACCAAAAACAACCAAAAAAAAAAAAAAAGCAAAAAACAGGATTTAAATTTAATTACACTTCTCTTTGAACTATTAAGCCAAATATGGAGATATTATTTTATTTTTTAAAATTTAGGCATATGTGTACAACTCTGTAAATTCTTCACAAACTGCATCAAAGTCCTGAGGCCTTTCAGGATATAAATTCCCTAATTAAATTTTATCATAAAACAAAGCGATATCCTTCACTTCCATTTTACCTTTCTAATATAATCATCATAAATGCTTTTTTTGCAAAAATATTAGAGAGCACTGACAATTCCTAGAGCACTCTCCTCAAACCTTTCACATTCCAACTAATCTCTACTAGCATGCTTTATTGTTTGGCTTCAGTATAACTCAGTGGTAAACAAGGCCCTGTATTTGATCCTCGGCAGCACTAAACATATATATAAGACACACAGTTCCTGCCAAATCCACCCTTAATATTAAATGACTATGCCTATAACTGGAGGACTTCAACATTATTTTCACTGACTTCAAAAAACCTGAATCCTTACAAGATTGACAATTTCATTTTTAGATAGTTCTCAATGTATTTGGTTTGAATTGCCAAGACTTTCAGACAACTTACCTAATTGACCTAACTTCTTTTGCTCTGTTCTACATTTCCTTCATCTATAAATAACTGTAGTGTTAACAGGCTTAAATTAGTTAATTTGTGAAAAGTGCTTTTAAGCCAGTGGCCCATGCCTGTAATCCTAGCTACTTAGGAGGCAGAGATCAGGAGGATCAAGGTTCCAGCCTAGTCCAGTTTGATAGACCCCATCTCCCTGATTATAGGGAGAAGGATAAACTGAGTTATTGAATTCTTAAAAATCTCCCATAAAACAAAAGTATGGACTATATAATCAGTCTAAAGAAAAGAATATAAGTGTACATAATTAATAAAAAACAAAAGAGTATAGGGTTGAGGCTGTAACTCAGCAGTAGAGCTCTCGCACAGTGCAAGCAAGGGTCTCGGTTCAACTTCCAGAAAAATAAAAGCTGAGTAAACATTAGGTTACTAAGACTCACCTGTTTCTCTCCATATATCAATAAGCACATGAACAGCAAGGAGACAGTAATAGTCGGAAAACTGCAATTCTGTTTTCAAACAGGATTTCCCTATGGGGAAAAAAAAACACATCTATTTTTAACATTTGTTCAACTCTTACTGACCCAAAGGAAACAAAAATGAGAACAGGCAGAGTTCCATAAGAAAACACGCCATGAGGACTGGTGATGCAGAGCCCTTGCCTAGCATGCACAAGGCCCGGGCTCAATCCCAAGCACCACACACAAAACAAAGAAAAATATATGCCATGAACCAAAGGCATGAAAAGAAGGCAAGACCACACTAAGCTGGAACAGAAAGAAGGATTCCATAGCATGGAAAATATCCACAATGATCCCAAAGAGAAAGGTTCAGAAGGAGGTTTTGGTGAAAAACCAAGGCGCTTGTATAACTATATCAATATCAATACTCCTTACTTCACCTAATTTTTTAATACAGTTAGAGAAACACTGACACACTGACAGCTTCTAGTCACACAATTTTTATTTTGGTTACATATATCTAGCAATATCCTGACCCATCTGCCAATCACCTATTTAATATCCCTTTGGTTCACTTAGTCTACATATAGAGACAGTATTAAAGTTTACAGTCCAAAAACTATACAATTCACATAGCCCATGTAACAGAGCTAATCCATCAAATCGGGAAGAACGTGGGTAACTAGAAGCAACTGTAATCATATATGACTCCAATCTTAAAAACTTTTGCACCGTATTACTTGGATGGTCTTCCCACTTAATAAACCACCCTCCTTAACAAGCATGTTAAACAGGGTGCTGCTGTCTAAGTCTTTGCAGGTCAGGTGAAAGGCTGCTCACCAAATTCCAGGCCGTGCTGGTACCTTAGCATCAGCTCTCTAACCACACTCAGCTTCTGACTTTTATCCATGGTGTGGTATAAGCCCAGTAGCCTTGTCAGCTGCACAACACACAAATGTTGCTGCAGAGCTCGAATGTCAGCGGGCAGTGCAAGCTTATCCTCTGTTGGTGTCGACAAAGGAACAACTCCAAGTAACAGATTAATAAACTGCAAGGACAGGAAAAAAGGAACATGTCTCAAAAGTAAAGTAGGACTCAGGAGGCCACAACTAACAGAAACTGAAAATATCTAGAAAAAGACATCAGGTGAAAAAAAAAAAACTTTCTTTAGCATACCATTTTTAATTTACCAATAGCTTTAAAAAAAAAAAATCTGTTAACACACAACACTGATAAAACCCAATTAAACAGGGACACTCACTCATTGCTGACCAAAACTGCTTTAGTACATGTACAAAAAGGAAAAAAAACAAAACTGTGTAAATGTTTCCTAAGTTATAGCATAATAATATAATGTATATCACAGAAATGAAAGGTTTAAGACTGCAATTAACATTGATTTGCTTTGTGATGATACAACTTGACATTTAAGACATTTTGGGAAGAGGCATACTGGATTTGAATTCAGAGCCTCACACATACTAGCCCAGCCCTCTACCACTTGAGCCACACTGCTAGTTCCATATGCGATAAATATAAATAATCTTTTGATACAAATAAAAACTTAAAATAAAACCCCACTCCTCATACAGTTTCACATCTGTTGTTTCAATCTGTCCACATTATAGTAACTTAATTACGATCAGAAGTATATCACATATTCGTGAGAAACTAGGCTCAGATTTCTTGCTTCTAATCACATCACCAGACCTATTATTCTTTTTTTCCCCTTGGTAGCACTGCGTTTTAAACTCAGGGCCTCACTCTCGCTCATCAGGCACTCTACCACTTGAGGCACCAGCCCCAGCTCTACCTTTTATGTATTTGTTATGTTTACTTTCAATGCCTTCTTTAGCAAATGGCAAAGAAAAAGTGTCAAAACAGATTTTATGAAATAACATACATTCTTTAGTCTGCACAGCTTTTCTGCTGTATAAAAAATTGCCTCAGCTGGGAGCTGGTGGTTCACAACTGTAATCCTAGCTACTCAGGAGGAGATCAGGATTGTGGTACTATTTGGCCCAGACAAATAGTTCATGAGACCCTATGTTGAAAACATCCATCATAAAAAAAAAGTGCTGGTGGAGGGGCTCAATCAGTAAAACTGCATGCCTAGCAAGTGTGAGGCCCTCAGTTCAAGACTCAGTATAACAAAGAACAAAAAAAAAGAAAGAAATTATGCCTTGGATGTGACAGCACCTAGAGCACTTGGCCTGGTGGGGCTGTTACCAGGTAACTCATGACTGCCCTCCCACACATTATAGAGAAAACCCAAACACTTCATCAAGTTTCAATAAACAGGCACTAACAGAACTCTGAATATACTCACTTTTGTACACTGTGTTGCAGGCAAAAGGTCAACAAATACCTTAAGGTCTGTAAAACAACAAGGTTTATCCCCAAACTTTTTAAAATACTGGAACATTAATTCTTCTGGGTCACCTAAAGAGGCAGGAAAAAAAGAAATCACTAAGTTATTTATGAACTAAAGCAATTTCTAAATTAACTGATAAGTCTAACTTGAAAACATTTCAATTAAATTAAAATGCTGCTTGAATGCTTGAATTCATTGCCAATTACTGAAAATAAGAAAGGAGGGGCTGGCCGAGTGGTTCAGGTGGTAGAGCACCTTCTTAGCAAGTGTGAAGCCCTGAGCTCAAATCACAATGATGCCAAAAAAAAAAAAGATGTGAAACAAACAAAGTCAGATTACCTAAAATTACCTTCAGGAAATGGAAAGAAAGTTTGTTGAGCTAGTGTCTCACTATGTAGTCCAGGCTGGCCTCAAACTCACACTCCTCCCATACCAGCCTCCCAGTACTGTAATTATAGGCAGGCATCACCTCACCCAGCTTCTGAAATATCTTTGTTTGTCTTTGGGGGGGGGCGGGAGGAAGTACTTCAACCAAGGGCCTCACATTTGTTAGGCAGCCACTTTACCCATGTGAGCCACTACCACTGCACCAGCCCCTCGTGAAACAATTTCTTTTTTTTTTTTGAAAGTACTGGAGTTTGAACTCAGGGCTTCACGCTTGCTAGGGAGGCGATCTACCACTTGAGCCATACCCACACCCTTTTGTGGACAGAGTCTTTGCCATACTGCAGGCTTTTTTTGCTTTGGTTATTTTTCAGGTAAAGTCTTACAGTTTTGCCTGGAGCTGACCTCAAGACAGAGATCCTCCTACCTCAACCTCCCGATGGCTGGGATTATAGGCTAGGACCACCACACCTGGTTAATTGGTTGAGATGAGAGTCTCATCATCAAAATAACCAGAGCAAAATAACAGAGCAGGTGTGGCTCAAGCAAAAGAATGCTTGCTTGGCAAGCATGAAGCCCTGAAAACAAACCCCAGGTCCACCAAAAAAAATTTTTTTTCATTATACTTCACATGCAAACATTAAACATACATGCTTCTCTCCATTCCATTCCTAAATAGCTTAATAAGTACTAACTAAATGCTAATGAAATAAAAGCTAACGTCTGTTGATAGGCACACCAAAAGAAAATAAATGGAAAGAAAGGAAAATTTAAACTACCATTAAAGCTAACATTTCATCTTATTTTTCCTCAAATTAAGACCCAAAAAAAACCAAACAAAATAGTCTCAACCTGATGCAAGATTTAACAAATAGAGATTTGTGCCAAGCACAGTGGCTCATGTCAATAATTCCAGCTACTCAGGAGGTGAAGTTGGGGAGGACAGTTCTGGCAAAAAGTTGAGACCCCCATCTCAACCAATGTGCTAGGTGTGGTAGCCACACACCTATCATCCCAGCTATCCCAGAGGCTTAATAGGAGTATCATGGCATAAACATGAGACCCTATTCGAAAACTAAAGCAAAAAAGCCTGAGGGGTATGGTTTCAGTGGTAGAGTGCCTGCCTAGAAAATGTGAGGCCCTGAGTTCAAACTTCAGTACCACCAAAAAAACCAACCAAACAAAGAGATTATTAGCTGGTGTGGTAGTATACATCTATAATCCCAGCACTCAGGTAGAGGAAGAGGATTAAGGGTTTGAGGCTAGCCTGAGCTACATTGTAAGTTTGAGGTTACCCTGTCTCCAAACTAATTAAACAAATAAATTAAAATTTTAAAAAACAAGATTTTCTACAGGTTCTCTGTAGAATTTGGGGTCATAGTTCCCATTCACATTTCTTTGTGAAGAGAGGTCCTTGGCTTTAATTAGATTCTCAGAGGACTTGGGGACCCAAAAGAGACTAAGAATCACATACTGGTCTGGTGGCTTCGTGACACAGCACTGCATAGCACAAGGCCCTGGAATCTATCACAGCACCACGGATAATGGAGATCAGACAAACTCTGACATTAGTAAGAGGTGGGTGGAAGTGAGCAAAGAACTGTGGTCCATGAAGCAAGTGTCATGGCAGACCCAGACCTTCACATTGGGCTCTGAAAGCAATTCTCTGGACTCTATTTAACTGAAAATTATAAGAACACTTTTTTTTTGTAGTACTAGAATTTGAACTCGGGGCCTCATACTTGCTAGGCAGGCACTCTTATCACTTGAGCCACTCTGCCAACCCAGTTTTGTGATCAGTTTTTTCAAGATAGGGTCTCTTGAACTATCTGCCCAGGCTGGCTTCAAACCTTGATCCTCCTTCTGAGTAGCTAGGATTAAAGGAGTGAGCCACCAGCACCCATAAAAACACATTCATTTCCAATTCCCAAACTAGCAGACTGCTAGAAGCCAACACAGAATTAAAAATTGGTTGTGAATGAGCTACAAAGGTTACAATGAAGGAAAGAGAACAGTTAATTGTGGAATGCACTGCCAAGAACATTAATGCATTAATTAGATGATTAAAATGGACAGAGATGCTTTAGGACAGATTTCATATATTGGAGGTGCTTGTTCTATCAGGATAACTGTGCCTCCCAAAAAAACCTTTTGATCAATGTTTTTCTCCCTATGTAACTGGGGTTTGAACTCAGGGCTTTGTGCGTGTTAAACAAGTACTCTACTACACGCCCTCTACCTCTCTTGATCAAACTCTGTTGACCAAACTTTCAGTGATGAATGAGGAAAAAAGTTTCTTTTGAGCTTTCTCTTTCAAAAGGACACTAAAAATGGAGTTGATTATCTTAAATTTAGCATAAGTCAAGGTATAATTAAAACTAATTCTTAGTATGAGAATTGGCTGCTTTGGGAGGACCATTTTTGACAAAACTATAAAGTAGCACAATATGACATCCTTTATTTCTGGTGCAATAAGATCATAAAGAAACATTTTACAAAAAAAACATCTAAGGGCTCCATCAAATTTCCTAATGGCCTCCCTCCCATGACACTTTACTCTCCACATCATTCTTTCCTCTTTTGGCTGTTCAGCTGCTAACAGCTCTAATTCTGTACAATACTCTTTCTGGCTGTGTGTGTGTGTAGTGCTGGGATCAAACCCAGGTCCTACTGTGTGACAGGCAAGTGCTCTAACACTGACTTAGTCCTTCATTTTTTTTTTCTTTTTTGTGGTAATGGAGTTTGAACTGAAGACCTTACACAGAAGTAGCTCCACCACTTCAGTTACTTCTTTTTTTGGGTGGTATGGGGCTTTGAACTCAGCATTTTGAGCTTGCCAGGCAGGCACTCTACAGCTTGAGCCATTCCTCCAGTCCTACTTTAGCTATTTGTCAAGCAGGGTCTCAAGTGCATGCCAGGGCTGACAGAGACCATGAGCCTCCTATTTATGCTTCCCATGTAGCTGCAATGACAGGTGTGTGCCACACTGTACCCAGTTGTTTTTGGTTGAGATGGAGTCTTACTAACTTTTTCCATGGACTACCCTCAAACCAAAATCCTCCTGAGTAGCTAGGATTATAGGCATAAGAAACTGCACCCAGCTTTCCAGTATTCTTTCGTCAATAGCTTTGTTCAGTGCTTGGAATAGATTTTCAAGAAAACTTTCACACATGACATGAAGTTCTGGCAAGTTCGCTTTGAAGCTAATGTGACTTCACCATTGGATCAGCAAAGCAGCTGATGGAACAGGAAGAGATGCTAACACTGAATGACACTGTGTGAGTGAGGCAGACTCACTCTGTGAGCGAGCTGCTCATTAGTAAATATTTCTAGGTTAGAAGATGTAGGCCTCACATAATAACTACTACTACAGGATATTCCTGCATCATCTCCCAGGTTCCCAAATCTCACATGTTTTCTTACCCAGCTTATACTCATCATTACAACCTTGACTTCGTAAACGCCTAATCAGCTCCAATTTAGCTAGATGTGGTCCTCGGAGATGGCGAGAACTTTTAGATTCTTCTGTTATTCGATCCTCTATGAACTTCACAGCTTCTTCTGCAGAATAATGTACTTCTCCTTCTAAAGAGCTGAATATAAACACAAAAAAGGGTAATTTGTGGCCTCTACCATCCTTCCAAAAGTTTAAAGTCAAGCCAAACAATTTAAAAAGAAAGAATGACTTGATTATTATAAAATATGTGTAGAATAAAAAGGTACTATGAGCAGGGTATGGGGGTTCTCGCCTATAATGCCAGCACTCAGGAAGATCATAAGTTGGACACCAACCTGGGCTTCATAATGAGTCCAAAGCCACCTTGAACTACATATCGAGACCCTGCTTCAAAAAACCAAGACCGGGGATGTAGCTCAGTGGTAGACTACTTGGCTGGCATAGGCAAGCCCTGGGTTCCACCCCCAGCACTGACCAAAAAAAAAAGGAGAGAACTGTGAGCATACTCCAACAAATACCAAGTTACAAACTTACTACAAACTTTGACAACACTGTAGCACAACCACTTCCACCTCTTTCTTTAAAAAAAAAAAGCTGGGAGGGTTGCAATTTTAGTTATAAAATACTGCCTAGGGCTAATCGAATGGGTCAAGTGGTAGAACACAAGTGTGAGGCCCTGAGTTCAAACTCCAGTACAAAAAAAAAAAACAAAAAACCCCTGCCTAATAAAAATAGAAGTACACTTTATCGACTGGAGATTAAGGTTGAGCTGGGCATGGGGATGCACAAGTGAAATACCAGCACCTGGGAGGCTGAGATGGTGGATCTTTAGTTTGGGGCCAGCCTAAGTTACATAGCAACAACCTGTCTCAAAAAAAAAAAGAAAAAAAAAAAAAAAAAAA